ATGCATTATTTTATGTTATGCATTAATATTTGTAAATAAAAATACAATAATGAAATTTTCACACAATTTTGAAATAATAATTTCTAATTATAAATACTTTAAAATGTATATAGGAAAAAAGTATGTTTCATTTTTTTACTCAAAATATTTGGAGAATCTAATTTGCCCATAGATATTTTAATAAAGAAAGTAATTTTATTACTCTCCTTTGCTTTCATATGTGCAACATATGGGGTGTTCACAAGGTCTTCGATATTATGTATTTTTCACTAAAAAATTTATATTACTCTTGTTGAAGTTTTGCCATTGTATTCCTTACCTTCTGTAGAACTCCGGTCATTTGCTCGTATTTACCAGTTGAATCTGGCAGATTCTCGAAATTGATAATGTCACAAATGTCCTTGGAAAATTTCTCCGACGATGGTAACTTATTGTACGGCGAAGTACTCTGTAACACGGGTGTGCCTAGGTCGACGGATTTTACACTACCCTGACTCATATTCGCTCCGTTAGGACGAATACGATTCGATACTGGAGTAACTTCATTGCTGGGCGGTGGCATATCAGACTTCGACACCGAAGAATTAGTTTTCTCCGAACCTGAGTTCGACTCTTGAAGTTCTACGAGCAATTGCTGTTTCATATCCTCTAATTCGTTTAATGAAGGGGAACTTGTTCGTGGCGGTGATGCGCAGGCTTCCTGCAATTGTTTGCATCGTACAGTTTCAATTTTTTATTCAGTTTGGTTGATAAATATAACAATTATACGTACTGGTGATTGAGATAACTGTACTTCTTGAGAGTGATAATCTGAATCTTCAGATAATAATGGCTCTGGTGGTTTTACAGGAGATTCGATTGGCAACGGTGGTATAAATAGTCCATTAGCAGGTACATTCTCTACTGTACACTCTGTAGAATAGAAAAACAAAGATGTTTTCAATACATATACATACGTTATATGTATCATTATTCTTAAAATGAAAAAGATGTGAAAGAAACATGTAAGCAGTTTCTATACCTTCAATACTTTCAATCTCCATTTCGCATGGTTCAGGTGCTGGAGTATCTTTTGATGTATTGTTAAGTTTGAGCTTTTTCCTCTTATATCCGTCGTCTGCTTCCTTCCCACTCAATGTCATTAACATTCGTTCTTTACTATGAATTGCCAACATTGTTGATCCCCAATATGGTTCTTCTACCTATTATTCATAGTTATCACTGCGTTTAAATTTGTGAAAATATATTATTTTTTCTCATAAAATTGATAATCTTACATCACGTGTACCGGGTGGGGCTGGTACATTAAAACCAGGAAAGTCAAATATTTTTTTTATATCGAACTGATCTTTATCACCGTCTTCAATAATAGCTCCAGGTTCAGCATCTGAATCTTCTTCGGCGACACCATCAGAATTAAATAGGGCCAAACCAGAGTGCTGCAAACGTGCTTCCTCTAACCACCCTGGAGGATAGCCCAGCCTTCTCATTCTAAAAAGAATGTTTTAATACATAAAGATAATATGAGAAAATAGTTATTCTATCTAAAGCTGAAAAAAATTACCTGTATATATGTTTAGGTAACTCATTGTTTTTTAGACCTAATGCTTTACGCAAAGTGCTACTTAGTTGACCAGGTATTAAATGATCAAATTTCTGATTATCATCCAAATGGTACCTAAGAGTTTTTGAAGCTTTCACATTGAAATTTTTACGATTTGCTTCTATGACAGCAGGATCGCGTCGTACTTTACAATCTCGCAAATTATGATTTCCATTACAATTGAAACACGACAATCGTGGTGGGCACTTTTCCTTTGTATTTGCACTTGATGCTGATTTCGTTTTATCAAATGCATCTTCATATTTCTAAAATGATATATGATGAAATAAATGAATGATAAAATAAAATATGAAAATAATGAAAATAAGAATAGTAATATCTTCAATGACTATTTAACTGTTCAAAATAATAAAATTTAAACGTTTCTTTCTAATCCATATAATATTGAACATTACAATGAAGAAACACACCTTCCCGTAAGTTGGAACATCAAGATCATCTATAAGCTTTGGCTGTGTATCTACAGTGAACAATGTGTCGCATATTATATCCTCACTATCATCACTCTCTGTGGTTTCAATTTCTATAGATCGACTTGTAGAGTCATCTTTATTATCATTATCATTATCATTAGCATTATCGTTATCCCAAACTTCTAAAGTTAAGCCATTATCGCTTTCTTGACTTATAACTTTGGAAGATACTAATTCCTTTAGAAAGTCTTTTATTCTTTCAATATATCGCCTAAAAATGTAATAGAGGGAATGGAAATTCAAATTATTTTTATAATATAGAAAAAAATATCTGCATGTATAACATTCTTATACTGATCAATACGTCTAATAAACTCATACTGCTCATATATATATATAAATGTTTGTTTGGTGTACATTTAGGAATACGTAAACACGTATAGAGTAATTTACTAAATTTATACAATCGTATATTTATTTATGGGTATATTGCATACAACACAGTCTGCGTATATCTAATGAAAAAATATGTTGCTACAAACGAACGAATTAGTATTTCTTACCGTGAAACGCTTTCATCGCGGAACATAACCTTAAAAAGTATCTGCGATGTATTACTATCATCGCAGCTTTTCGTTTCGAATGCATCTTTGTTATTATCCACATTATCACTATATCATTATCATTATCATTAGCATTATCGTTATCCCAAACTTCTAAAGTTAAGCCATTATCGCTTTCTTGACTTATAACTTTGGAAGATACTAATTCCTTTAGAAAGTCTTTTATTCTTTCAATATATCGCCTAAAAATGTAATAGAGGGAATGGAAATTCAAATTATTTTTATAATATAGAAAAAAATATCTGCATGTATAACATTCTTATACTGATCAATACGTCTAATAAACTCATACTGCTCATATATATATATAAATGTTTGTTTGGTGTACATTTAGGAATACGTAAACACGTATAGAGTAATTTACTAAATTTATACAATCGTATATTTATTTATGGGTATATTGCATACAACACAGTCTGCGTATATCTAATGAAAAAATATGTTGCTACAAACGAACGAATTAGTATTTCTTACCGTGAAACGCTTTCATCGCGGAACATAACCTTAAAAAGTATCTGCGATGTATTACTATCATCGCAGCTTTTCGTTTCGAATGCATCTTTGTTATTATCCACATTATCACTATTCACGTTTGTCTCATCCGTGTTGCTTAAATTCGCTAAGAAATTTCTATCCATTGAACATTCACCTTGCTCATTGTCAGTAACATTGATGGTATCTTGACTCGAGTCCAAATCAATCACCTCTTCGTCTGTATCCCCGATTGTAATCGGATTCATGGAAATACTATCGACACTGTCCCGGGCACATAGATAAAACCGCGTTATTTTGCAAACGCACGATTCTCTCGTACAAACACTTCTTGCACCAAAGGAAACACAACACACAATCACACAGAACGCTTCGACTTTATCGAGTTTTCTCAACTGGTCAAGACTTTACTGTAGAGGCGCTCAATTCATGCAAAGGTTTGTTTAATACAAGACAGCACGGAATTGTTCAGGCATTGTGTATTTATCCTTTACGGTTCTGACGTTGTCATATATATGGCACACGTACAAAATATTGCATTTCTGATTTGTATTCTTGAATGCCATCGGAAAGGATAGCTTTTCGATGTGTAACATCGAGTATGTCTTTGAAAATTCCATAAATTGGACATGTCCATGTAGATATGTTAATTAAAAATGGACAATATCGACAAAAATATGAAATTTAGAAGGAAGACTAGTAAAAATAGATTTATATTATTGCTTATAAACACTCGCAATTCGTCGAAAATACTGGATATTTTCTATCGAACTTCAATAGTAAATATTTTTTGAGCTCATTATTTGGAATTGTTATATAAATAATACAAAAATTGCCTCCTTTAGCAGATGATGCTGTAGTATTGACTGAACGTCCGCCGCTGAAAATTTGGATGTAGTAGAAAATTTATTTTCGATATTTTGTAAATTGTATTCGTCTCTAATTTGTGGCGCAAATTTTTCGCTCGTTTTTTTATCTATGAATAATACCAATGAATTGCCAGTCAAAGTAAAGAGTAATTTACCATTTATTACGATCATAAGATGAGTTCAAAATTCAAAAGGGAAACCCGATAAAATTTACGATGCCTTTCTTAAAAGTAATTAAAGAATCATACACAAAGCGACAAATAGAAAATTCAAAAAGGAATGGTTTGCGACATAAAATTTTTAGCCCCAAAACTAAAGGACTTTTCAAAGGTTATTATGTAGGTGAATGGAAGAACGATGTAAAAGAAGGGAAGGGTAGAGAGTTGAACAGGTACTATAATTACAATTATTTAACTAATTTAAGCAATTGTTTTAAATAATATCGAGGAACTGACAACAATAGTAATAAATATAGTCGTTCGAGGAATTCGCGAAAAAAAATTTCAATAATACGACTCGAAGCGACTTTATTTCAACTTAAAATGCCTTAGAAATGGATGGACGTACGATGGTAGCTGGTTGAATAATAAAAAGCATGGTTGCGGTATTTTGAGCAAAATTTCAACGGAAGACCATGTTATTCGCCGACATTACATTGGCGGTTGGGTAGCTGGGAAAAAAGAAGGATTCGGACATACCTGGTTTAAGGATGGTAGTTATTACGAGGGTGATTTTTGTCGAAACAAACGACACGGCTACGGTCGTATGTGGTATTGTAATGGAGATTATTATGAAGGAGCTTGGAAAGATGATCTTTATCATGGCATGGGAATGCTTATTAAAGGTTTTAAGAATTCTGTTGACCTCGTCTATTCCGATTTCAGTCAATTTCAATAATATTTCACCTGGATTTAAGGATAATTGATTCCACAACTCGAAACCGGAATAAAAGATTCGGTGCGGTTGTTTTTACAGACAATGGTAACAGATACGAAGGGCTATTTTTCAAAGGCAAGAAAGAAGGTTACGGCACATACTATCACATAGTCACTGGCCAGATACAATATGGTTACTGGACCAAAGATTGTTTCACAAATGGGACCATGGTGGACGCTGATTTCCGACAATCCGCGATTCGTCCAACGCCATACCCGATGCCACAAGTATGCGACACTGAGAAATGACTTTTATAGGCCTATGCCTGTTTTCTATAATTCTTGTTTGGTTCATAGATTGAACTGATGACGCACGTTGACAAATCACAAGATACTTGCGAAATCTCAGGCGATAATAATAACGTCACAGAACTGATATCCGTCGAACGTTCCTGCAAGAGACCTCCGAAACGGATAGTTCCGAATTATTGCGTTTCTGTGAACACTTGTCCCTGTTTAGATACATATTTACAAACAAACACTTTACGGTAATAGCACAAATCGTTGTTAATTGTATAATTTATTGTAGCAAAAGTGTCTCAATTCTGCGCATGCATCTATTTGTGTCCATGTATTTACATACATATAAACCCTTTGCAATAAAATTTATGTACAGCGTGATTGCCGCTAGTTCAGCGACGGCAGTAACTTCACGACCAAGTATAAGTATTAGGGAGAGGGAAAACGAGAAATTATCTTGTTTCCGTTTGAAAAATCTGGAAACTTATTTGAGCATAGGACGCGTTGCGATAATTTGTAACGATAATGAACAAACGTATGAAATCGGAAGAACTATTCTGTTCAGCCAAACGCGTTTCGAAATGATGATAATAAGTACATTTAATTAGGTTTGCACATACTCGAACTCTGTTCGCGAGCACGCAGAATACATCCAGTCGGTAGATTCTACCGTGTTCCATTAATTTTATTTAAGTCGCTACGCGAGAGGGAATGTTTCACGTTCAGATTCTTTTCTCCATCGGATGTTACTTTCCGATGATTGTAAAAATTCGCCGCGACATAGATAAATATAGGAAACAGTAGTCGCGTAACAAAGAGAACAATTGATATCTTTCGAACTCATTGCATGCAGGTGGACCGACGCCTTACGAGAAACAAAAAAATCAAACTCTTCATCCTCGCAACTCACAATACGAATCTATAATGCAGATTCCCATATGTAGTTAATAATATACAATAGTTGTCTTTCTTATTTTTCTCTCTTTTCATGATCTTCCGTTCAGCCAGCTATTCGAGATTCAGTATCGCTCTTCACTGGGAGAGACTATCACATTTGTGAGAATAATACAGATCATCGTGAACACACTGCATGTTCAGACGACATGTGCTACACCAGTAGTCTGTAACAGGTTTACACCGTTTCTGCCCTCGACGTCGGTCGATTCTATCTGCTCTTTAAGTAACTCCAGTTCCCTTATACCGGACACCGTGACCTCGTACTTATGAGCTACCAGGCTCCGATAGAAATGTATCGCGAACGCGAGAAAGATTATTAACACTGGTATCAGTACGATACAGGCAGACCAAGCGGCAACTTGCGAGAAATCGTAGAATTTCACCCAACAAAGTATGGCGATCTCCAGTAGAAATAATAAGAGTCCGAGCAGAGTGGAAAACGCCCATGCCACTTCGATGTACCAATGTAGACGTTCGTGCGGCGATTCGTGTACCAAACTTATACTATGCAGATTGCACACGGCCTCTATGTTTGGCAAAATACATGTCGATATCATTAAGGCTAACATGTGAACCGCGACTAATAGCGTCGTGCAGACCGCGAATGCGATTAGCATCTCTGAAGGTACCTTCGTGTCGGAGTTCAGTTGTACTTCCACCATGGCAACCTGCAACAGAAGATCTATTTATTAGTAGACATTGATTCATGACGTCTACAATCTTTCAAGCATATATAATAAAATAAAATAATCTTAAAATAATCTCCACTATTTTGTTTAATGTTGATCAGATTTCTTCTCATATAAATGAAGAAGTTCATTACAATGTTCTTGCTACGATTATTATGTTCTTGTATTACATATACCAGTTTTTCATATCATGTAGGTATATAAAAAAGTTCAATTATGTACCATGGCGAAACCGGAAAGTAGAGCAGACGTCTTGCTTGACGCTTTAAGCTTCGCTCGGCTGAGCTGCAATTTCCTCCAAGATAGATAACCCGGCGTGTGAAGACCATCTCCCGACTGCGACATCTTTGACTATCAGGCAAAAAAGAGAATAAAGAAAGATGACACAAGCGTATATTATTGATGAGAGGTATGCGGAACGGCAGCGACTGATCGTGTCTATTACGCTTAATCAAAAACGATACGCTAAGTTGTGAGTGTCCGCGGGTTCTCGCGAGCACAGTGGTCAATTACACGATTCAATTGAAATCTTTGCCAATTCAGATTATGGAGCAATCCAATGTGACTGCGTTAGTCAACAAAACGTTTTCTCACGTACATGTTCATCTCGTGCAATGTAAATATAAGCGTGACACAATAATTTAGAAGAAATTATTATACGTAACATTAAAATTAGTATTTTTGCTGTTGTACGTCTGGGCTATGTTAATGAATGTAATATCTTGAACGTATTTAAGACATTTTCAAAAAACAAATATATGATTTACGGAAAATTTGTGTTAGAGCACCTTCCTTTATTTTCTTGAAATTTTACTCATCGTGATAAGCATTCTACCTACAATTACTATTTCAAGACGAATCTAAGACAATGGCTTCGTTTGTGCTATATGTATCCGAACAGAGAAATCACTGTTAAAATAGAAGTATACCCGAGGTAATTGCACGCCTAGAGATAATTAGCGTTCAACTAATAAATTGGCGTTCGACTATACAAGCACGTAAGAAAGAAAGACACGTACCGAAAGTGGATAGCAACGTCGGTGCCAACGGGAGAACTTGCCAAAAGTTCTGCGTAGGACAAAAAACCAACGGGTGCTGAACGGAACAAATAACAAGGGGAATTAATGAAAAACTTATGCATAGTGCAGCAGGCGATTAAGTATGCGTTGATGGACTAATGATGCGCCCACGGGAAATCTGGCAAGCAATAAGGAATAATACAAATAACTAATAACGAATTCCTATACTTATTCATTTCATAGACCTTATCATTTTTTGTTGAGTGATTGCAGTTGACATTGTGTACAGGATGTATGATAAGTCAATTCCTCTGGTTGCCGATTCGCACATTAACAGTTTCTATACATATACTTACGTAGGCTTTACGCGTCACGATCTACTGACACGCAAGGTGTTAATATTTCGTGTGCATATGTGCATACGTAATTAAGACCGACTATCAGAGAAGCGGTTGTAATTATCCTGTTTATATAATTGCGGGATGGAAATTATACTGCATTTCAATGGAAGCAATGATGGAACACAGCATAGTACGTAGTACATGTTCTGATCGAGATCATCCGGACTTCTGCGTAAAATGAACAACATTATTTTACTTGTGTGAATACGATATCACGAAAGTCTTCTTTAAATCGTCATCATCAAACATTCTTAATTATTCGACCGTTACCCGATCCGAATAAAAACGAGTGACAAGGGAATTGATCCTAGTTGTTAGAGTTCAATCGAGAGACAAAGATGTACGCATGTATATGTATATGTATAATGTTAATTTTCGCTTATGAAGCAATGAGTAATTGACTGTATTTTATATTTAATTATTCGTTACTTTCAGCTAATCTTTAATTAAATATCATTACATGATTTAATTCTTAGATATATCTCGTAAGCCACAAAATATTATGTACACTGTACATAACATCAAGATGATTCACAAACAGAAATACAATCAACGTCTACATTTGTGTATAATGAAGCCAATTCTCTAAATAATTGTCTATCA